TCTTTATTCAGAAAAAGCATTTATTGTCTTTTATTGAGAATAAAAGACAATAGAAACAGTTTGAAATCTCTCACGARTTTTATCGAAATTTCTGCATAAATATAATTACACACAACAGCTCTGCACTGTTATCATAATAATTATAATAATAAATAATCATAATCTAATAGCTTATAGTAGCGCATTTTCATGACTAAATGATCGATTGCACTTAAAATGCTCTTATCACCTTTCGGAAATCTGGGAACAAATCTATTATCACGAAAAAAGTATTTTTTTGACGTCACACTTTAGAACTCTATATAGTCCCACTCGAACTGTATGACATATACAGTACTTTATTACCGTGTCCATGAAAAAGGTCTGCGGCACGGTTATAAAATGTAGCAATTTCATTTATTTTTTTCCAAGGTCGCAGTTTAGCAACTCCGAGGGACCCACAGGTTCNTTCAAGTTCAGCTTTCAAAAGACCCTCGCTAACCTCACAGCTGTAAGTTTACAAAACCACAGAAAAATCAATTCAAATACAAATTATTTTTAATCAAACCATGAAATACAACAGAATTGAACATGAAATCTTTGTGAAATAGTTTAATTCAAACTCGTTTTGACCTCAAGGAAAAGAAAAAAAACTGACATCAAATTATGTACAATTTTATTGAAGTTCAAATATACAGTTTTTTACACTATGATTTTGACTATTTACAATTTATCAACATTATATTTATCTTATCATCCAAAATTCTAAACTCAACAGAAAAAAATCCAAAATTAATAAGAAAGTCTTTCATGACTTGTAAGTAAAGTTATAAGTTTCTCAAACTGAAAACAAGAACTAAGCAATATGTGGCCAACAAAATTTTCAAAACCACACAAAGTGATAAAAATATATTTTTATTTACAAAAGAACAATATTATTATGATATGAAATTGTACAAATAAAACTAAGAAATGATAAATAAATAGTTTGATGTGATTTGTTTTTTGGTTTATTTATACAAGATTGAATTATCTATATTCTTAACAAAAGACCAGGATGATTATCGTTACAGAATTGTTCAGCCCACTTTTTACATTCATTAGATACTGGATTACTAAACAGGGCTAGATAGGTTAAATTACTTGGTAAGTTATTAATGATATGTCTTACCCCTACATCAGTTATGTTATTATTATCCAGGTATAGCCGGGTTAAGTTAGTGTTGGGTAAATATTCACCCAAACACTCAGCACATTCATCATACAAATCACAAAACGACAGCCACAGTACAGTGATTGAACAGTTATGAATGATAGATGGCATTAAACTACTTAACCCAACACTTGTTATGAATGAGTTAATAATGGACAATGTGCGTGGTGGTGATGATATTGATGTAGCAGTGTATTCTACTAACATAGCGATTACTGCACAGTCCTTGTCGGTTACACCATCTAATACAATCCTCCTATCACTATCCCAGTATCTGTGGTCAGGGTTTCTAGTCACTTCTTGTTTTGACAAACCTTTGTCTTGAAACTCGTGTAAACATCTTAATGACACCAGTCTTAGTCTGAATTCATATTTACCACTGGTAATATCTTTACCTAGACACTCTAGTAGTTCTACCATTGATTTCTTGTTATTATCTAAACCTAACAAACCGCTCATGAAGATGTACACCATTTCAGTGCTTTCTTGTGCCGCCATTACACCTTTCTTGACCAAATACAGAGCAACAAAAAACTCTTGAATTGTGAAGTGCGTGAAGCTATATTCACACGTTGGTTTTTGAAAAGGCAAATTACTAGAAACAGGATAACAAATTATAAGATTACTAGAAAGCAACAATTCCTTTTCTGTTGAGTTTAGGTTTTCTAAGTCTTCTGAAGTAAAACTGAATCTATTTTGTTCAACTAACTGTGCCGCTAGTCGTGCAAAATTATCGAGAGTTTGRTCAACAGCCAACGAAGCGGCTTTCTCATCTAATTCAAGTATTGCTTTATTGTAATTTGTTTCGATGCATTTGATAACATTACAATAAAATTCTGTAAGTGTTGCAGGAATTAAATTATCGCGTTTGTTTTTGATTTCCCACTCGATGAAGATGCACATCAAAAAACAACGAAATGGCGCGCGACCAAATGATATGTGGTGCGGTGATCCTTTGACTTTGTTCACTGCCATCTTTCTTACTTTTTCTGGTTTACATTTGAAATACTTCTCAACATAGTCAATTACTTGGATTTTTGAGAATCCTGTAATCTCGACATAGCGATGAAAATGGATTTTTTGGTCCAAAGCGCCGGCTTCGCTCGGTCTTGAAGTTATCATCGAGACTGAATCGCGCAAGATCTTTTTTCGGATTAGTTTGCTGACCAGGGCTTCTACTGACATCTTGGCTTTAACATCATTAGGAAATTCCTCTTCAAAGTCTCCGATTATTTTGTCGCGGTCTTTGTATTCATCAAAGCCATCGAAGACAATAAACAGTTGTTCTGGGTGCT